AAATTATTATACAGCTTTTTCCTGTTTCAGTGTCATGGGGTCCACCAGTTTTTACATCTTAGGATTTCATATGCTTTTTAAGGAAAAAGGAATATTTTAGTAAGAAATAGGCTGGTGATGGCGATCAACAAATTACTTTGGAGTGGGTAGTTTAAAATATAAAGAACCTTTAAAGAACCTTCTTTTGATGTTTAATTGTTCATGACTAAAGAATTTATGAACAAATCCAATTTTCTACTGCTAGAATTCATTGCAGAGTAGGTAAGCATGAGAGATAATAGTGGTAAGAATAAAGTAAGAAAAGAGAACATGGATGAGTTAGAAGAACCAGCTTAATCTCTATTATATCTGATATAAATATTTTTGGGGGCTGCGTAGGAACACATCTCTAGGATGGTAAGTTATAAAAATAAACTGTCTATAAAACTACTGTAAGCTCATATGTAACAGTTTGTTATATAAAACTGGGGAAATAAATTATAGACAAATTACCAAGCAATAAATTCAATCGATTTGTTAAAAACATTCACAATAAAAATGGCATTCACATATTTAACAGATAATAGACGAACTAAAATTTTGGTGAAAGATCTGCAGTAAAGTAATAAATATAAGTAAATGTACAGCAGAAATGTTATATTACACTCTGAAAAATAATTTCTCTGTTCTTCCCCTAGACTATGAAATAAAGTGTTCTTCAATGTGCTTTATTTTCATGGACAGGATAGAATTAAAATCAAAAGCATTTTGGAAATATCTTTCAGCCTGATGTGTTAAAGCAATCAGAGGTTAAATATACCCACAACCCAAAATAAATCTTGAAGAGGCTTTAGTAACTAACACAGGGGGTGGTTTACACTAACTTTTGTACTTTAGCCAGACACTGATTAAAAGCAATCAGACCACTCACTGCATTCCAGCTAAGGGAATGAATGATAATGGACCACATTAAAACCTCTGCAGGTGGCACAATGTGAGTATGACTTTACAAACCAAGAGAGCTTAAAAATTATAATTACAAACAAATTAATAAAAGACAGTAAGTATTAAGGGGCAGGGTATTAGACCTGGGCAGGAACTGCATGTATAGAATGAGTAACCTCAAGGAGAAGTGAAAATAGGTCTCTGCTTTTATTCAGGGTTTGATGACTGGAATTTAATTTCCTTATCCTCCATTTATAATAAGGGATATAGGCTAAGAGTTTACAGATTTCTGTGAAACCAGGTACTCCACTCAAACTCATTTTGGCTTTAAATCCACTTTTCATTAATTAGGGCCAAATCCTTAGGAGAAACTATCAATTTAATGTTACACTTTGAGAAACAAAAATTGTGGAACTCTTCTCAAATTCTGAACTTCTGATCCAGACACAGAATACAAATTCATGAGTATTCTAGAAGAATTTTCTAATTTCTAGGCAGTAATTTATGGATCAATTTAAAAATAGCTTGTTTCAGCTCTTAACTCCTACTGATGCTGCCTTTGTGCACAAACCTGTTTGCTTATTCATCCCCACTGTCCTGTCCCTGAACAGCTCTGGAGACTGTTACTCTCCCTGCCTTCCTGCCCCCCCTCAAGAATTCTTTTCTCCATGATATCTGTGTGACACTAAACAACTGATAAAGGATAAACTTGAGCTGCTGAACAGCACTGATGCCTATTCATTTGAAAAGACATATAAAAATATGGCTAACATATATACACATAAATGTTAAAATGCATCCCATTCCTTACATATACTGAAATTCTTTAGAAAAATACGGAGTGAGAGCTGACAAGACCTATGTATCACTTAACTATTTTATCTTCCTTCCTTTTCTTCTCACTGGTTTTATTATCTTTTTAGCTCATTTGAATAGAAATTTTTACAAGTTGTTTTGTACCACACAGACATAAGAAAACTCTGGAGCTCACTGGGACCTCTACCATTCCTCAGATTAAAAGCTCATGAAACCAGATACAGAAATATGAACTCATTAGTATCCTAATGCAAGCAATAATATTAAACTTTCTATTGGCAAAACTTCGCAAAGACATTTCAACACAATAACCTTTGATATGTCCTCCAGTTGGAGTACTTTTAAAGCTTCTTGTTGAAATAATTCTGTTAAAGTGCTTTTCAAAGTGCTCAGCAGGCAGGTGATATTGTGCAATATGTGTAGTACAAGCTCACATTACAATGATTTGTCACTCCTCTTAAAACAAAACTGAAGGAAAGTATCTTAGCAAGGTTAATAAAAGCCTACTGAGTGACTCTGCCTAAGAAATGCATGTATTAGTATGTTGTCTACATAACTAGCAGCACTATACAAAACATGATTCTCTCATTAGTTGGATTGGGATGTGCCTTTTTTTGTGATATTTATATTACATAAATCAATATATAGGCCATACTTAAACACTAGGGCTTTGACTATGCTCTTTATTTTCTCAGTTATTTATATATACAAGGCTACCTACTCCATGGTTTTCATACACCACTCAGTGCTTTGAAATTCTGCCAAACATTCCTTAAAAAAATACTTTAAGAAAAGTGGAAAATAAACACTCTCTGGAGCAAAAGTTAAAAAAAATCCACAATAAAAAAATTCATGGTATTGAAATGGAATCCATATATCACTTCTTGGAGGACAGAGCTGTCATATAACAGTTGTAGGGAGCAACAGCATTTATTGATGCTGGTAAAATAGCTAAAGCCAGGCTATATAGAGCAAGACAATACTACTTTGCTTCCCATTTACATGTGAGCTGATATGATTCAAACAAAGTCTTTCAATGTTTCTTTCCACTGATACCCTGAAAATCTTCTCTTGCCAAAAGCCACTGTTTAAATACTCTTATATATCCATTTAGTAATACAACAGATCTACTTACCTATGTTTCCTTTGTCAACAAAATCATTTAGTGATGTTTAGAAAAATGCTGAGAATTTTATTTCTAGAAAAATACCCTTTTCCTTGTGTTCCCCACAGTTTATGCTTTGAGCCACATACTACCCTTGAATAACCACAACAGTCAGCAGCACTAGGAGGAATGGCCAGATATCTGACAGCAGAATTTCACACTCTTAACATTGTTGTAAAAAACACATATAAAGCATCAGGGAGAGGGAGGACAGAGTATGTTTAAGGGACTTGACTTAAACTGAATTGCTTGGATGCTGGAATAGGAGATTGGAGAAAACACGCACCGGCGATATACCTTATCCATTTCACTAAAATGATATTCAAAATCAGGCAATGCTGACGTTCCCAGAATTAAAATAATAAATAAAAAGAACTTCCAGCTAAATTAATTATTATCCCACTACAGTCTTTATATAATGTACTATTTACAGTGAAATACAAAAAGTATTTCATTCATACAATTACTACAAAGACTATATGTGATGCAGAACAGCTTTTACACTAGGCAAGGGTATGGAACTTGTAGTCAAAAATAACAGGGAATTTGCCCCCACTTACCAGTGCATCAGGTGTTCAGTGCAAAACAAACTGTGTTCACTCCCTTTGATTTCAATGCATTTTCTCTATCAAGCTCGTAAGAGTATTTTGTCACAGTCATTTTTCTAAGCTCTCTCCAGCAGCACAACAGTTTAGGAAGGAAAAGCAGTGAGCTGGCTGCAAAGTGGGAATGCAGAGGAATTGGCAAGTGTAGAAAAAGTGGAGAAGCTACAAAAATTTATTTTCCAACAAAATAACTCTCCACAAGCTGTGTAAACTTTTCTTACTGAAACAAATACTCTAAAACACAAAGATTTTACTTTTCCAGTGAACACTCACAGTAACATTTGCCTGTTTTTACTCTCCTGAAGTCTTGACAAAGAGCCAGCAGATTTATGCTTTCTCAATTACTTGGGTCAGTAAACTCCCTCATATTCCCTGGCTGCAATTTGGATTTTTAAATTAATAGACAGAACGAAGAAACAGACTTCTTGGGCTTTTGAGTAACCTTTGTTTTCTTCAGTAGATTCTCACACTTCGCTGCCTAACATGCACATGCGCACATACTCCCATCCACCACCCACCCACTCACATACACACCTCTGTCATGTGTGCTCTATTATTCTGACAATAGAACAAAAATTAAGCTGTGTCCATTGCAATTTTGTGTACAGAGAAGAATAATTTATAGTGGTAAGTTCATTATCTTCACCATAAATTTAAAATGCAAAATTGGGTTTGCAAGGACAGCATAAGGTGTAAGAGTTAGGCCCTTTATCTCAAGCACTCATTTGTATTTACAGTAAGTATAAGCTTTCTGCTACAGAAGAAAAAGTATTTAGATTAAACACTGTTACAGATTTCCTAAATGAGGCTAGTTCCAGTTGCCAGTAATTCAAAAGCAAATCTGCTGACTTGGCATTAGGACTCTAAAACAGTGTGATCAAACTTATGTAGTAAGAAGGTGTCTGCAGAAATAACATTTATAAACTGTATATACAGTACACAGTACCAGTACATAGAAAATAGATTTTGACTTATGATCCCCTGTGTGTAAGGCAAGACTGAATTCTGTCTTCAAATGGAGTCCACCAGAGGTACAAGCAACAGACAGTGGCTCTTAAATCAATATGCAAATCAAGTGCATACAAATTAAAAATCAGAGCAGACAAAAAGTTTCAAATTTTTTATGTGCTGATTCTGGCTTGCTGAATACACGGGAAGTTATTAAACATCACATGTACCTTTTTTAAAAAACACTAACAACACCTTGATGGCAACAGATATTGTTCAAGTGGCAGCTACCAAAAAACAGCTTGAAAAATGGCATAGTACAACGTCAGTAACTCTGCAGTTGTACTACACTAATTCATATAGCACTAACCAAAAAAATAAGTATATGAATATTCTATTTCATGCTATTGCTATGCAAGCAACAGCAATACAAATCAGCATACAGAAGGATACCATATGTTCTGCAATGAAGAACCCAGAGATATTTTCAAGGGGCACTGTTACAAGACTTCAAAGAAACACAAGACTGCTGGAGGCAAAAGTTACTGACGGATGTAAACATCCCTGTTCCATTCTCCTGTGTCGTTACGTTTTTTCGATATCACTTCCCCATCCTTGTCATAATATTGGTCCCTTGATTTATGACGACTACGCTGTTTGTTGCATTCATTGTGGTCCTGCTCGCGGTCCCTCTCCTTTGAGCGGTGCCTTGATTCTCTATGTCTGTGATCACTGCTCCCGTGGGACTCGTCTCTATGATTGTGATCCCTGTGAGAATCATAGTGGTCACCGTGCTCATGTGAGTAGTCCTCCTTTGGCTCTACGTAAGCCGAATCTCTGCTGTCTTGTGTTTCTGAGTCAAAAGTTTCTTGCCTAGAAAGGCCTCTAATACCACTGCGATGGTTGTGGTGTTGGCTTGAGGAAGAGCGATGCTGGGATTTCTTGATGGGTTCAACCCGTGCTTCCTCTTCAATTTGTGAACCACTGCGTTCAGGGACTGAATGGTGGTCATTCCTCTGGTCTCCTTGAGATCCCTGCTATCACAACCAGCAGTAAGTTCACATACATGAAGTACACATTTAAAAACTTTCCCCAATATCAAATTCAACTAGAAAGTATCATGAAACCAATAAAAATTAAGTACACAACAATCCACTTTGAATCTAAACTAGAAAAAAACATCAGAATTCAACTTTTACTAAAAATTCAGTATTATAATACAAACAATTCCTTTCACTCTCATCAGAATGGAGGGTGGCACTTAGGTTATTCTGTGACACTCTCTCATTTCCTGTGATGTTTCTGACTATTCCAGTTCCCAGTAACTGCCTACCACACTCCAGACAAAAAGAGAGCATGCAGAAGCAGGACAAACTGTAGAAAAATTAAAGAGGACGTATCATGCCAGGAGAGGGCAGGTATCAGTTGAGAGTTTACAGACACCTACTTGGAAACAGCCACTACAGGAAAGTGCTTTTAGAAGTCTGAGGAGATGGATTCCAGTAGAGAACCGAAGTACAGAACTTTGGCTCTTTTAGAGTAGCTTTTCTTAAAAGAAAAAATGGAATTCAATCTGGTATGAATAAAGTTTGTATTATGATACTAATAGTATCACTGACCTTCTGTTTTTCTCAGCAATAATTCCATTTCTTCAAGGTAATGAAAAATTAAACTTTGGTCTCATAATTTTAAGAGCTCAAGAATACAGACCATTGCCAAGAAAAGCCAGAGGAGAGCGGTATTATCACCTATAGAATTTCCTAACACACCACTACTATTAAAAGACTGACATAAAAATTACCAGGTAATAACAAACCTACTCTTCACCAGCGTAATGCTTTGTAATCACTGCAAAACGAACAAGTGGTATTATTTAACTCATTTAGGGGTTTCATGCTTTTATTCCCAAACCACAGCTAAAGATTTTTCAAGGTTAATTACAAAATTTTAAGAAATAGTTGACAGTGAAATTGAATTATCCTTCCCACATGAGGTAAAGAACATCAAGACAAAATCATCTCTACTGTCAGAAAATTGAAGTAGGTTTTAACGGAGTTATACAGGCATTTGTTTGTAAGACTGTTCTGATTTTACCCAAGTTAGTCTAAAGTTTGCCCTCCTATGTTCAGAATTGTATAAAAATAAGTATTGCCTCCAGGGAAGCTCACGGACATATCTTCTTTCTGTCTTTCTATATTGTGGAAAAGAGCTAGAAGAAGGAGGAAATTTTGTTCTTCAGCCAGAGATCCTGGCAGGTGGGGTTCCTAGCAACCCAAAAAGTAAAATGACAGGAAATTGGACAAGAACAAATCTGTATTTTATCAGAAACTTATAAAAAGCAGCATACTTCAAATCAGCAATTTGATAAATTTGAGAAATCTTCATTTTCTAAGACAACATTTTGTTCTGTAAACTTCCCAGCAACTAGCTGGTTGCTCCATGTGCTCCTAATTTGAACCAAATGGTATAGATGAGAACAAGGTAAAAGAAACTGGTCAAATTTCTTTTTTGTTCTTGTTTTTATGATTTGCCAGAAAAGGAATGTAGTAATTGTAAACATGAATAGATGTGCTCAAGGTGAACAGAAATGACTCAAAGGAGGTGAATTATAAATGAAATCAAATGAAAAGCTAAGGAGTCTAAAGCAATGCCTGCTTTGGATGTGTAAACGCATTTTTATTAGTTCACAACCATGACTGTTTTTAAGGCACATAAACTGATTATGCATGTGAAACCCTTTAATTCTCATATGGTCAAATGCCAGATATGTATGTACTTATGTGTATAATCATGACTAATAAAATCCATCATTGCTGTGGTTTGAGAACAAATGCAAAATTCGAAACTGCTTTGAACAGAATGCTACTTTAACAAACTCAGATGAATCTTCTCTGCTACGATGCGTACGTGTGGAGAAGCACAATGAATAAATTTCAAACCAATACCTGCAATTTCAGAATAGTGTTAGGGCTATTGAGATTATGGGCAAATTCATTGACAGTAACTTTCCCTAAATATTACAAGGACATTGAGCACGTAATGTTTGAATCTGGATTAGGGTCTGACTTTGTGGTTCATTACCAAACTAGGGCTCCAATTTGTATTAGATTCCACAGTGCAGGAATTTTATGGCCCAATCTCATCAGGTTTTCTGCCTAAAATGGAGAAAGTTTGAGAGAAGCCGATTTCATTATTCAGGTTGTAGTTTCAAAGAAGTAGGGGTTCTTTGAAAGAAGTTTAAGCAGTGTTGAAAGAGGAGAGGGAAGTCTGTGTCCCCCACTGCTGAATAGGGACATCGGCTCCCTATTTCCATCCAGTGGTCCCTAATTGCCTGCACCATATGTGTGTGAGGTTGCTCCAGTCTTCTTTTTGGAATTAGCCAACTATTTCCATACAAGAGGAAACCTGAGAACAGTTGTCAGGACAGTTGGCTCCAAAGCTGTCCATCAGATAGACACGAGGTGTATGGTCTCCACCGACTTCATTTCAAACAGTCCCAGGAGGCCTCACACCTTTAAGCACCTCGTGCCATGCAATGCACACAGTCAGCATCATGCTATAAGAATACCAGCTGGCAACACAAATCTCTCATTAAAATGTACACCTGGGACTGAGAAACCACAAAAAACAATTATGTCTCATGGCAAAGAGGTGCTGCATTGGACCCAGAGGAGAATGACTCAAATGCTTTGCAGTGCGGATGTGGCCTCTCCAGGCCAAACGGCTGGTGGCATCATTTTTCTCTGCAGAGCAGTCCACAGAACCAGCACAGATATAGACTTTAAATTCTCCAAATAGAGGGTCTTAACACAATTGAGAGAATGGGTTCAGCCACCATGATTAGAAAACAAACCGACTCTATGCCAAGACTGTGACAGACTCAGATTTGAGATGTCAGCTGAAAATGTATCATAGGAAAATTAAACAAAAGGAACATAAAAGTTCTATGTTCCATAAGGGACCCCTATTGCTTCGCACTTTTGGATTAGTAGACCTACAAACAAACTGTGAAACTGCAAATACATTCTCGTTTTTAGTCCTTAAAATAAAAATCTGTTAATTTGTAAGGAGATAGCACAACAATTCAGAAAAGTGTTATTAAAACTCTGTATAGTTCCTCCAGAGAATGTGGTTAATAAAATAAGTGAGCTATAAATCCACACCCAAAAGGCATAAAAAAAACCTTGAGAAAAATAATAAACACATCTACAAAGCAAAGAAAGTTTATCTAGCAAGTCTGCACACAACAATACTGAATTTCATACTCAGAAATTCTTCCAGCTCACAATTTTTTCAGGGTGTTTCAGCTCTGAGGACAGAAACAAAAGGCAGAAATGAGCTATAACTTACAGTCCCTTTTCCTGCAACTGTTTTTGAAAGCAAGAGAAGGAGATAGCCTGCAAGGTGGCTGAAGCATTTTTTTTGTTACAGAACAAACCTGTCAAGTCTGGGGTCTTCTAATGGGAAATAAGTTCTTTGACACAAAAAATTATTTTGCAAGATGATAAAAACAAAAAGCAAATTTTTGACATTTTAGTTTGGGTGCAAATATGTTTTTTTCTTTGATTTTTCTAAAAGGAGGTGTTTTTCTTAGCCAAAGTCATGAGTTCTAACTGACCTATCTACATAACTTATGGGCATATATGGAACTTAAGTGGAAATTTAGATGTTGTAAGCCATTATTTGAGCTGAGACAGATGTATTTTAACCGCCTCTGTGATCTTCTCGGTCTCAAGGTGTCACTCACTATTTATAATGAAGTAGTATCTTTAAAGACCTTATTTCATGTCATGCAACACATATACAAAGGACTGGATCTCCTTATGCTGAAAACCTTTATAGAATTATACACACCAAAAGATGGAGGAGAAAAGAGGGGACGCAATATGCCCAAAGTCAACAGGCAGGTCAGTGCGGAGGTAGGAACAAAGCCTGTTTTCCCAGCTCGCTGGACAGTACCCTCACTGTTCATAACACTACCTCTCAAGGTCTTTCTGCACAATGTGCAGTGGGACTCGGGCTTTATGTAAGAGTTTGGCTTGAAAGAAGTATGTACTTTTCACAGCAATGGCCAGTGAATAAAGTAACAAAGGGAACACTGGAAGGGCCACTTTGACCTTGAGATTTCACTAATACAGTCAGTCATTCTCAGCCTCTACAACTCCATAGCCTGTGGGAAGATAGGAACAGATTCCCTCCAACATTTGCAGATCTGCTCTGTACATAACCCAATTTGTCATGCAGGGCCTCTGGGGCTGGGATTTGCCTATTAGCGATACTGTGCTCATCAGTCAGAGCGCTACCAGAGGCTGTAACATGCAAAGTATTAGCCCAGTTTTATTTCTCTGATTGGATTACATATGGCCAGCTACAAAAACGCTTGTGGCTGGTACACATATTACTGGCGCAGTGGTGTCCTGGGCACAATAAAATCTTAAGTATTCCACTTCACATCACCATATGTTTTCAGTCAGACTGGCTTAGTCCTTGAAATCAAAACCAGCCCCCTAGTCAATACGCAAACACAAGGCACTGTGAATACAATAGCAATAACAATAATGTGCCTCTATTTGCCTTTTATACTGAAAATAGATGAATGTCTACTGAAAAAGCTCTTACTCTATCATCAACAGTAAGACATACTCAGCATATTCTAGTATCAGACTGCCACCGTGCTTTGAAAGAGGAAGAAGCTGAGAGGAAAAAAAGAAGAGATGGCATAAAAACTGTACCTGTAAATTAATATTTGGACCTGGGCTAATAGGAAGAGTGGCTGTTGCAAGTGTGCGAGTGAGAAGCTGGTTAGGAGGATTGCTGCTAGGTGGATGTGTGGCCTTCCAGTAGGCTTCCAGATAGTCAGCAAGGTGCTCACAAGCATCTTCAAGCTGGTTCTCATCAAGAATTACATCGAACATTTCCTGATAAAGGAAAGGTTTTAGTGAGTATAACCACCAGCTAAAGGGAGATCAGCTAGAGACATTGAAGAACACACTTTCCGTTCATCAAAAATATTTCTAATACTTGTGTTCAGATATTTCACCCCTTTTGTTTTGGGTTTGGGTTTTTTTTTTGGTAATGCAATTGATACAAAAGACAGCAATCACAACTAGCACTAATGTTACACATTACACTTGCTAAAGCAAGTCCTCATGACTTCCGCTTAGTAATGCACAAACAGTCAATAAAGACAGGAAGAAGTAGCTTGAAGAAATCTTAAAACTCAGATAGCCATAAAGAAAGGTTAAATATTGAAGTTTTTAGTTATTGGAACAAAATGGAATGTCAAGAAAAGGGATTCACTCCCCATATCCAGAATAACTAAGAGAAAACTAAGACAAACTAAGACCAATAACTAACAACAGTAAGAAACCCAAGTAATACAGATCATCCAGTTTCCCAGTGTTGTACAAATATTAGGTAAGACATTAGTCACACAGTCTAATTTTAGGCATCTAAAGTTAGCAGGCGAGTTTCCTCCATTCCCTCCCTGGTCAGGGAGACAGAAGTACTCCTGAAGGCAGCTTTGACAGCCTACACAGGTCTCTAGCATTCTTCATCGACTTCTTGGGGACCTGAGGAGACTAGTCTTTTAACTGAGATGCTTGAACTTAAATGATGAAAACATTCCCCTCACTCAGCTCTGTAACTACAGCAAATTGCCATATCTGCAACTGAACTGAACCTTCATCTTCTGGTCTCTTACCCGTAATCTTGACAGTTGAGTATGCAGGTAATAACGCTTGCCATGTTTAAAACACAGCTGGGGTCTCATCATTTCCACTTTATAGGTTGAAATCAAGAGAATTTGCTTCAGTGCACATCAACAGAAGTGCAGAGCTCTCAAGCTACGCAGTACCCCACAGCTCTTTCCAAAAACTGTGACCAAGAATGCCAGCAGTGATGAGCTGTGGTGACATAAGCCCCAGGGGAGCTACCCAAACCACTGGCCTGACCTAAACTGCCAGAGATAAAGCACAGGCACTGAAAGGGTACATTTTTAGACCAATAACGCCAAAAGAATTATCCAGTAAAACAAATGATCAGTTTGTTCAAGCCGTGAATGTATCAGCACACGTCCCAATAAGTGCTTGTGACTAGGTGTGTTTTTTCCCTGCACCCATGTGCAGAGCCCCCGAGACCTCAGGAGGTGTTCTGCAAAAAAGCAATAGTGAAATATGGCCAGAAGAGGGCAAACATTCCCAGAAATTATGTAATTAACCTCGTGCTTGAAAAGAAAGGCATCTTTCAAAGAGAAGACATACATAAATTAACAGTAACTCACAGGAGGACACTGTGCCAGTTTATCAGCTGCCACCATCTGAACATTAAGGTGTTTGGCCTGAGATTTCCCTCGAGATTTTATTAACCTCTGTAAAACCTGTGAAAAATAAGACATTAATAAAAGTGAGCAGGTTCAGGTACATATATAATCACTTAAAATGTTTATATTTTTAACTGTCCACTTGAGCAGATCAAATTCTTTATTTGCTGGCTTCAGGAGCATTTCCCATGCTGTTTACATCCAGAATAAGCTAATTTTCCTTACTTCCCAACATCTCCTTTCCTGTTATGAACACTAAAAGGTTCCCCTCCTATTTTTCTCTGCTGCTTCTGGTTTTCTTTGTTTCCAAGTTGAAATTCTTTAATTACTCTCCTGAGTTCTCTTCCCATAAACTCATTCTTCTCTTTCAAATGCCTCTCCACAAGGTCTGTGCAGGTTTTTTCACAGAATGAAAGAGTACATTATCAGGAGATGTTAAAGTTTACCAATCAGTCTGGTATGCATTACATGAAAATCTTTCTTTCATTTCTGTATTATTTTGATTTAAAAAACTGTTAGCATTACTTACCTTATTAATACTAAAAATGCAATCCCAATTTTAAAAAAAACATCGGAGGTAAAGCACCTTTCTTTTCCAAAATGGGTTTTGGTAACACTACAGCTAAGATACTTTTATGATTAATAATATTTCACCACCCAAAGGGGAGCAATAACATATAGCTCAGAACTTTAATGAGGACACATGATTATCTGCATTTAAGACCAAAAAAAAAAAAAAAAAAAAAGACTGAAAGAGCATGAATAAAATATTTACCTTAGGAGAAGAAATCTTTACATATACTATAATGGGAGCCAGAGAGGTTTTGCTTAGTTGAGCTGGGTGGTTAATGGTATCAGCATCAAGCACTACCAACTGCAGTGTCCTTGCTAATTCAAAAATCCGTTCAATTTCACTTTGAACTTCAGCTGCAGAGGAGTAGAAAATTAGAGTTATGAAAATATTAAGAAGCGATTAGTTTTAAGCACTGTAAAAATGTGGTAGACTGGTATGTTGCTCCTCAGGCTGGCAGGAGTTCTTAGCCGTGCATGTCCCTGGCATGCTAGGGGAATGAATGCAATGTTAACGAGAGCGTTGTGCCCCCGGTTTGTTGCCCTTGCAGGCAGCACTGCCTGCCTCTCTCAACCCACCGCTTCCTGCAATCCCAGCCTGGAGAGATACTGTTAACACTTTCTTACAAGACCCCAGACCACATATATAAGAAAAAAAGACATAAGAATGCCTGCTGCATCACATGGTAATCTTACTACACCATTAATTTCCTACATATGAATAATTTCAGCTCAGACTTTAATGTTATCTAGTAATCAATTTGCTCAAACTGGTATGCATGACAGAGGCATTAAGACAAACTGAGGTGTCTCTATTAGCAGAAGCTCCCGTTTTTTCCATTTACTTCAACCTATCAAAGCTCTGGAAAAGAAAGTTTCCTTCATATACTCACCTCAGTACGGTACCATATTAAAAATTTGATTATCATGTGTAAAACACTTTTTAAAAAAAATAATTCAATAATCTGAATAATGCTATGGTATCCTCCTCACAACCCCAGGAATTCTGGAAAGGTGATTTCCCCAGAAAAAATCATCTGGTAACTCCTAGCTCCTCAGCACCCTGCCCAATTGGCAGTAGTTTCCAGGACAAACCTCTCCAAGACAGATGGACTGCATCCGCTTTCACAACTGATGTAGAAACTGTCTTCATTCACAGATGAAACAAAACTAAATCTTATAATAGCAAAATCATCCTTGAAATGGAATCACATTTTCCTGCTCAAATCTTGCTATAGGCTGACTTCACAGAGAAATTACAGAAGTTGGGTGATTTGTGCAAGTCTATAAAGAAAGTTAGAGAGCCAGACAAGACTGTAGTTCATAGAGGTTTCCCTTTAAAGGTTGGGCACACTCCATGAACCAAAACCAGATTAGGTATCTAGCCCATTCAAAGTAAATACTAGAAGATAACCTACAGAAACTTAAATGTCAACAAGATGTACCAACAACTTATTTATTAGACAGTTTCTTGAAATTACACTATCAGCATTTTATCTGTTATGCTGGCACATGTATTACTTTTGCTTGAAAACACAGCCTATCTGATCTGGCTAGAGAGAGTTCTCTATAGCGAATAGTCTCTTTCAAGAGGTGTGATGATATCGAATTTTGTTATCTTAGGATAGCAACCGAATAAATTAGGTACCATGATAAGGTTGCAAAATTTCCAAGAGAGAGCAAAGCATCCCAGCTAGTCTCCATTTAGCTCAAAGTCTTTTGGTTCCAAATCAATAGGTGACTACTACAATCATTTTATAAATGAAGTAACATCTTCAATGGCCATCAGAAAACCTATATATGATGTTCTCTATTGGAGGAAGTTGACATTGTTTTGGATCTCTTAGAGACTACCTCCATCTGTTTGTAGTTATCTCCAATTTTGGCTGACTACATGCCAATCAGTCTTTTACAGCAGAGAACATTGCGAGATGTGCATGGTGTGCTGGTATGGAAAGCATCGATGTGTGCTTTCCTGTCTGTTGACAAAAGCAGAGTGGCCCAGCTGCTGTCTGAATTGGGACCACATTTTTGAAGACAGAACTTCTGATGGTTCTTGGCACATTCACAATTACATTTTCTGCAACTTTGTTGCGTAGAGATATTGTTGGAATGACTGAATACCGTTGTCTCAGTGATTTAGTAGAGGACAGTCAATAGTGTATCCCTAATTTAAGTCCAAATGACAACCAGAATAAACATATCAGAGATAATTTGTCATGCTGTTCTGATGATGAGTTTGTATTGCTTTCCTGCAATTTCAAACCAGGCTCAACACTTCAGTCAGTATAACAATATCAGTTAATGTATCATTTTAAGACCATTCCAGACTGCTAAAATCCCTTGTTCAAGAGAATTTATAACCAGCAAAATCTGTCTTTTTGCCAGTGTATCATAATTTTGTCTGGGGAAGCAGTATTTGCTACACTGCTGGAAGCACTTTTCCTGCCAGTATGGAATACATCTCTGTGAACTAGATTTCCTGCTATACTTTTTGAAACAACCCTTTGCCAGGGCAGAGTATGCCTCAAGGAATCTTTTATTGTGAAACATACCCAGGGCAATAATTGCAGGTAATTATGGTCTTATGAACCAATAGTTTCCACCTGAGTCTGAAGATAGAGAGATACCTTTTCCATCAATAAAAAATATTTCAGTTCAAGGAACTACACTGCATGATTGATGAACTAATATGTTGGGCCTCTACCTCTCCAGTCAAGAACAGATGGAAAAAATGCCACAGAGATTGCTGAAGAGGTCCTGATCTCCTGTCTTTTAGAGTACTTTAGCTTCTGGAAAAGCCTGCATTTTTCTTGAAACCTTCCTTGTATTCTAACTTTTCACTACACATAAGATTGTTGCAATTACTTGAACAATAATAGCTTCTCTTTTTAGATGACAAAGGCTTTATTTACTGCTGCAGCTTTGGTTTTCATCTTTCTTTAGCAACATCTCTCAAAAACCAAATTCTATACCTGTAAAGATTCCTTCCCAACAAGATGCTCAATACAAATTTTCTCTCAGACTTTTGTCCAAACTAAGCAAAGAACCCTAAATATCACGTGAGGATAGTAACACAAATATCATTGGTAGTTAAAATGAGAACAATGACAGCGTGGTATCTCCAAAGCAGCACAGCAATAGCTTAGCAATCTTCCCACCTCCATGAATATCATCTCTTTATAATAATGTCCCTTCTGATGTACTAGAGAGGCATAACAGTGAGGCTGTAACAGTTAACGCCAATAAATTATGTTTGCCAATCATAATGAGAGGCATAAACATAATTAGATCTACCGTGACAATCATCCTGGAATGCTGGCAGCCCAGCTACAACACAAAACCAGAAATTAGCTACCAAATTTTAAAGTGACCCTTACAATCTATTTGATACAGCCTCCTTGGTAATCGGAAAGGGGACATATTTTAAATGACAGGAGCACTCAACTATTTATTCAATACAATAGGAGGTCAACTCTAAGAAACGAGAAGTACACATCTCCCAGCCAACTTTAAATATTGCACATTTAAATTTATTCCCATATATAGAAATTCAGTGCAATAAGAGCACAAGTAAATGGCTTATCCCGTTATGGGGGCAGACAAATATTCTTTACACCAGTTGGACCTTACTAGTGAATTTCAAGCAAAAATCTTTAACAGTTCATTACAATAATCTCACTTAAAGTAAAGGCAAACACACAGCAACACTGCATCGCATCTGTGTCAATTCACTAATAACAAGATGAACTATGGTGGAATTTAGGGCACTTCTACAATGCAATGGTAAAAGAACATTCTCTACTCTGCACAGTTGGAGAAACACAACCATCCTTCAAACCTGGCAAAAAGCAGCCATAGCAGCCAGGAGTCACTGGGACACCCAGCTTGACAGAGCAGTGGCTACATCAGCACTATGTTTTAGGAAAATCCTGACAAGATGGCAGTTTTGTGATGGGGATATGATGAAAAATGGTCATGCTTCTGGCCTGCAAAGGCCAAATTTGAACCATAAAATATTGCTTATATGCAGCAAAGAGGTTTTGATATTCAGCAGAAACAGTGAAGTTCACATATTGTCAACTGAGTACAGTATGACTTTAATATCTTATTCAATTTGACCTTGTCTACTTGTCTATGGTATCAGTGGCACTGTTTTGTTCATCAAAACAGATTTGTACATTATTACTTTGACTGCAACAGCTACAGAGGCAAAACATTTTTCTAAATAGAGCTCCTGATAACTACAGATGCATAGCATGAAAAATGCATAGCATAAAAAGAACGTATCTATGTCAATGTATGTCATACAAAAATGATTAGCAACACCTTGCACAATGTCTTTCAAATAACTTTATAAATTAAGCAGAACAGACATCAGTAGCCATGATTTTTCTTATGCTAATCCTTTTATACAAGCACACTTACTTAGAAATCATTAATCACTAAATTCCATAATTAAAGAAATGAGAAGTTTGAGGCAGTCTCAGGAATTCCAAAACAAAGGCAAAAGAAACAAATGTGCTATATATCCCCAGTTCCTTAAAAGCACAAAGAAAGTATTGCACCAAAAAAACTGCTGAGAAATTGATAAAGGTCATAACTGAAATCCAAGAAAATGGAAAAAGAAAAACAAAAAGGAAGTGATGACTATTGAGTTGTGCCCACACACCTCTTGATGAAGTAGTAAATCATGACCTTGACTGACAGAATTCAGATTTTAAATTTTAATTTGTGAGCATATCTGTGGGCAAAATCACTGAAGTGTCTACATTAGGTATTGCACTGACCAGAATGCAGGTAACTTGGCCACAGCAGGCTATCCCAGACTACATTAGATGCCTGTGCTTGCTGTATGCAAAGTGGAGAGACTGAGATGCTGCCGAGAGTGATCCAGAAAGTTACATGGCGTGTGAGCAGTCTGGAGCAAGCCAGTAAGAAACCTCACATGTACATAAGTGTTTGGCCTCTTTCTTCTCACTTTCCCCTTTCCTCCCCTCAACCACCAAGGTTGCTCTGGGTAGGCAGGGAGCCAACGGCAGGGTCATGCTGGACAGGGGACAGCTGGCTCCACCCCTTCCCCAGCCAGGGAGGTTCAGGCAGGATTAGCTGTCCCACTCCGTGCTGGTGACAATGCTGGGGAGCAGAAGCCTCTGTGCCTCTCTGCCAGCATACCCAGCCAAGAAGGAAAAAGTCTTGGAGGGGAACATAAGCAAGTAAGAGGTAACAAACACTCTAGCTTAGTCCTCAGGCAATGGGCCAGAAGATACCTGAATTACAGGTGTTTTAATCAAATTTTTAACATAAATATACATTTGTGAATATACTTACATTACCCTCGTCTCAACCAAATCCCT